TTTTTTTTTGTTTTTTTTTAACACTTTCAATTTCGTTTGTTTTTTTTGTAAAAAAGTAAGGTTTTTTTATTTTTTTTTATCTTTCTTTTATCTATGATTAAAAAAAATCTGCGGCAGTTAAAACACACCTTTCAATCACTTAACAAAAATAGTTTGTAATGTTTCTTTTTCTTTCTATTAGTAACTATTTTTTTGTTACTTGGTTAGTAACGTTAAATTTTAACGTTTTTTTGTTTTTTTTTGACCGGTTTTCTTTTGTGTTTTAACTATGAGATATTTTTTTTTACTTTGTATTTTTATTATTTTTAATATTTTACTAATTTTTTCTTTTGTTTAAAAGTGTCTTTAACAAATAATATCGATAATATAATCGAAAAAAACCACGAAATTCAAGGTTTGCTTATTGAAAAAAACCACGAAATTCAAGGTTTGCTTTTGCAAATTAAAAAAAATATTAATGAGAGTCAAGACCTTCGTTGTGAATCCTGTGAATATATCAAAACTCAATTTGAAAAAATTAAGCTTTCTATCAAATGTAAAAAAAATCAAACATTATACGATGCAATCATAAATGTAAAAAAAGATGGTGAAGATTTCAAAGAAAAATATTATAAACTAAAAACAAAGTATAATAAGATGGTAGAATTATATGGTGAACCGAACGAAGAATAGTTTTTTTTGTTTTTTTTATTTAATTTTTTTTTTGTTTTTATTAATTAATAAATAAAAATAAATAAAATACATATTTGCTTAAAAAACTTAATGGTTTGGATGAGTTCGTTTATTATGACCAACTTTACCACAAATGCTGCATTTAGTTTGTTTTTTATTTTGATCTCTATTTTTTCGTTGGTGATTACCAACTGATATATGAGTACGTTTATTATACCCAATCATATTAACATTGTTTTGTTTACAAACTGAACAACGAGGTCGTTTTTTTTGTTGTTGTTGAGCATTTGTAAAAATAAATATAAACAAAAACACATATAATAAAATTAAAATTTTTTTTAATTTCATTGTAATTTTTTTAAAAAAAATAAAAATAAAAACGTTGATTATTTATAAAAAAATTTATTACAAAATTTAAGAAGGAGGTTTACTGGTTAATAAATTATCAACATCTGAGGGAATATTTGCAAGAAAGTCTTGTGTTTCATCTATTGCTTCTTTACATTTTTGTTTTACAGTGTCATAATTAATTTTAATTGCATTTTCACCTTTAGTTAATTTATCAAATAAAGCAGTAGCTAATGAATCAGGATTTAAATTCTTTTTAATATCTTCAAGTACTGATTTAATTTCATTTCGTAAAGTTTGATTTTCGTTCTTTAATCTCTGATAAGCGCCTGTTAATTCACCAAATTTTTGAATTGCTAAATCCCTTTTTTGCGCCCTATTATTTATTTATTAATATAATATTTATTTATTCAAATAAAATAAAAAATATAAACAAAACATACATTTTAATATTTTATACAATAAAGATCGAGACTATAAAAAAAATTTAAAATAAAAAAAACAAAAAAAATAATTAATATATCATTTATTATTAAATATCTAGAATTGGAGGTGGTTTGTCTGTTAATAATGTGTCCACGTCCGGAATAATATTTGGTAGAAAATCCTGAACCTCGGCTAATGCTTCGGAACATGCTTCCTTTGATTTTTTTTTAATTTCTTCATAATCAATAGCACTACCATCAGATTCTACATTAATGTTATCAATTTTATCAATTATTCTACCAATTGCTGCATCAATATTTTTTTTAACAGAATCATTAAACCCATCAATAGCATTTTTCCAACGATCATTTTCTTGTATTAATCTTTGATTTTGTGCATATAAAGCACTATAAGCTTCTTTTAAACGATTAAATTCACCTATCGCTTTGTCTCGTATTTGATTATTATTTTGAGGTGGTTGTTGTATTTGAGGTTGTTGTTGTATTTGAGGTGGTTGTTGTATTTGAGGTGGTTGCTGTATTTGAGGTTGTTGCTGTATTTGAGATGGTTGCTGTATTTGAGATGGTTGCTGTATTTGAGGTTGTTGCTGTATTTGAGGTTGTTGCGGTATTTGAGGTTGTTGCTGTATTTGAGGTTGTTGCGGTAGATCCATAAAAAAAAAA